AATTAGCAATTGTACATGCTACAAAGGTATGGCGATACTATCTATTGGAGAAGCTAGTGGTTGTTTGGACTAACCATCAACCTTTGCTATGTGATTTGCATCTAGAAAATATAAAATTGCAACATCATCATTGAGAAGAATAGTTGTAGCTTTTTAATATCCAGCTTGAGTACAAGCAAGGGTGACAACATGTTGTGCCAAACAACTTATTGAAAAGATCAGACTTGAAAGATGAATTGGAAGATTAGGCAAAAGATGCTATCAATAGTATTGTTATTTCAGATCTAATAAAAGTAGAAAAATAGAAAGAAGCTCATATTGGGATGTTTATTTCAAGATGGTTAGCAATTGGTTGAAGGTGGGCAATATATAATATCAGGATTACACTCTTAGTGATGGCTTGTTCTATTTCAAAAAGTAAATTTATGTATCTAATAATACTAAACTTTAGATGCATATACTTCAAGAAGGACATGACATTCCAATATGTGGATATTTGTGACAAGAAAAGATCCTAGAATAGATCTCAAGGACATAGATTTGGATAGGTTTGGATTGTGATATTCGAGCCTTTATATGCTCTTGCAAGTTATTTCAATGTAATAAAGCATAGATCGTTATGTCTCTTAGACTATTGCAGCCAATTTTGTTATCTATAATATGCTGGAAGCACGTGACTGAAGAGTTCATTACATGTTTGTTGTAGACGTCTCACAATCATACCGTAATTGTTGTCTTTGTAGATCCGCTCTCAAAGCAACTTCATTTTGTTGTGGTACACTTTGATATTGATGTCTCAATACTTGCATGAGTCTTCTTTGATACCATTTTTTTTCACTATAGATTATCTCGTGTGATCATTTTAAATCAGAATCCATGCTTTACAGGAAGTTTATAGCAAATCTTGTTCAAGCTACTAGGTACAAGACTTATTATGTCTATAACCTTCCATCCTCAAATAGATGGGCAAATAGAATATGCAAATTAGATTTTGGAAGATATGCTCCAGACATTTGTGGTGGTTCATCATAATGATTAGGATGAATACTTAAAGTTCTTAGAATTTACTTACAATGATAGTATTGAAATAAGTATCAATCATTCACCATTTTTCCTTAATATTGATCAACATCCAATTATGATAGCAATTGTCCATTGTTCCATCGATACCAATAACTCGATAATCCAACAATAAAGGAATTTATACAATGGCTTACAATGGCCTTAAAAGAGGTACAGCATTGCGTCTTTATTGCACAAAATTGACAAAAGTAGTATGTGGATAACCATTGATAACACAAGACCTTCTGAAATAATGATCAAGTGTTACTCTTCAATGCCAACTTCCTACTTGCTACATCAATCCAAATCCGTAAACTAGTACCTTAGTGGCTTGAACCTTTCTATGTTTTTGCAGTGATTTTTGATATTATATACCATCTTAAGTTTCTACCGCATATTCATGTCCAATTAATCTTCTATGTTTTACAACTAAAGGAATTTCATACCAAGCCAAAGTACTTTTCAAATCGACACCAACTACTACCACCACTAGTTATAGTTGATGACCAAGAAGAATATGAAATAGACAATATTTTGCAGCATAGCTATCTTCACCATGGCAGTGGACATTCACAACTTTAATACAAAGTTCTTTGGAAAGGTTATCTCATTCATGATGCAATGTGAGAACCTACACAAAACCTTACCCATTGCCATGAGACAATTTGGAGATACCATTGGAAGTAAAATGAGGATATTCCACATTAGTGGAAGGAGATTAATTGTAACAAAATATAAATAAGATAATTGTATAAATAGTAAAAATCATAGAAGTTTCTAGAATTGAAATTAGATTAGTGGACTAGATAGGACTCACTATAGAACATTTTAAAAAGAATTTAGGACGGTTATCTAAATGAGGCCTACCACCTAAGAACATTCTAAAAATTTTAAGGTGGTAGGATAAGATATTAATAGAATTGGCCAAGGCCTTTTGAGGCATTTGGTTAGGTATGGCTTCGGATCCTACTTCTTAGTAAAATTTGGTTTTATATCTTTCTGTTGAGTTCTATTCTATTTTTTTTCGACTTGCTCAATTTTATCTTTCACATCCTATTCTATTTAATTTCGTTCAGTTTTTTTTTAGTTTGTTTTGTCCTATTTTGTGATGAGGCTTTATATTGCTGTAGATTAGAAGGATCTTGGATATTTGAGATAGTCTAGTCTCATTTCAGCTACCTTCTAAGTATGCTATGTTGTTGAAAAAGAAACCACCTAGTACACAAAGGCTTTGCTTGCACAAAAAGCCAATATATCTCAAATTATAAAAATAGCAGAATGAGCTAAAGTTACACTAGAGAGATAAAAAAAAAACTGTATAAAGAAGGTGATAGAGAGTACACATAGATGCCAAACAATGCCATCAAGAGATACAATTTGTAACTAAGTACGTATTTGAAAACCAAGCTGCAACCAAGTCTAAGTTTTACTCCAAGACCACCATTTAGATCCTGCTTTTTGCCAAATATTTGCCAATTTGTCTTCCTTTTTTCATTCTAATCTCTTTGAATTCCCATCATTTGACATCCATTTGCATTCTATGATCCCATGTACAAAATTCATTATACCATTCATAAATATGCCAAAGATACTTTCTATAAGCAATATGAGCCAAAGTGGCATTTTAAGGAGCTTTGATTTAGAAAAAAATGACAAAGATAGAAAGGACTTGGATCTTTTTTATATAAAAGCTTCTCTATCTATGGAGTGATTTAAGGTTTAGGACATATATATTGACATGCAAAGTACCTTATTACTTTTAATCTTATTAATTTTAATTTAATCTTATCATGACTATTTTTGAATTTTTTTAGATGTATAATATTTAATTAAAATAATATTACAAATACTTGCAATAGAAGTCATGCTAAAAAATGTAAGATCATATTTGTATTAAGCATTGGAAATTTTTCAATGCTTATTTCGTACCATTGTAAGATATTTTTGTACCATTAAAATTGATAAAATTAAATATATATATATATATATATATAGTTTTAAAAATATATTATTTAAATAACCTCAAAAGAAATAAATAAAATAATATAATTGAAGTAATTATAAGATTTTATGTTTGTATATATACATAATATAAATCAAAGAAGTTTCTAGGTTGTATTTAATGGGATTTGTTTTCAATTAATATATATAAGATTACAAGATATTTTTTTAATAATATTACTTGTATATTTTTAAAATAAATTCAAAATAATATTTATTTATTTATTGTGTAATTTTAATATTTTACAAAATTCATATTTTTATGTTATTGAGTATCTATATCAATGATCTACATTGACATGCGGATCAGTGCTGGCCAAATGAAGAATGGTTTCCAAGTGGCAGAGGATCTAAGTTCTACAAGGGGCAGAGTGTGGCCAATGGCACACACAGTTTTGGAGCCCTAGCTCTTGCCATTCCAAGCAGGCAGAAAAGCGGAGTGTGGTCAATTGCACACACAGTTTTTGCCTCTCCTTTCCATGGTTTTTGGTCACACTTAAGCACTGGCTTTTGTCCAACGTGCATGTGGATCAGTCCTCTGATTGCGCACAAAATTCCATCCATGTGGTTGTAGAAATGGTGGCCTCATGAACCCAAGTTCAGGTTTTTGGCCACATGGTTTTGCTCAAGTCTACAACTTGGGTCAAAGATCAGATGCAAAAACTCCTTTGTTAATTTTATATCAATTAAACCACTGACAATTCAATTTTTTTCTTTTGGAGCACATCAAAACCTTATTTCTCCACTCAAAAACAAAATTATAATAAAAAATAAAAAAAATAAAAAAAAAATCCCCCCCCCCCCAGGAGAGCTGAAAAATGACTGTTTAAGGTATTCCGACGTGAGAGGCTATAGTACGAGTGAGCGTTGGCCGGGGGTTAAGCAAAAGGCGCCCGGTGTGGGCACAATAGAAATGAAGCAGCCCGTGTTTGAGCCACTTCCAACGGCCTGGGTCGAAAACCAAACAAAGCTAAGGGCCTACGAACAAATGAAAGACTTCAAGGGTCTGATCCTTGCCTTTAGTAAGCGTCACAAACCGGGTGCAACGCATCCAGCCTTGCCAGACCACAGGCTCTTGTGTTGGGGGCCGCTCAATGAGAAGATAGAAATGAGGACCAATCCACTGTGAAGGGCGCCCAGCAGGAAGGCAGAATGAAGTGAAGCCTTCCTTGAGAGGCGGACAGAATTCTTCGTCAGTGGAAAAGAGGCCAGTTGGTCGGTCCACATCCTTTGTTGCATAATTTTCAATGAATTCGCCTTCACGAGTGCGGAGTTTGTCCGTCGTTAACATGGACGACCAGTCTGCTGGGATAGCAGTTAATGACCAAGTTTTAATTTGAGTACGTTCTTGGCTGTATTTAATACACCTAAAACCTGCTTTTGCAGAATTACACAAATGACTTAAACGAAATTAAATGGTGATGAATAATACGTTGTTTTATTTGAATTTGTCAGAAATGCCTAGGCAGGGCGGTCGGGTTCGGGCGGCACCTGGGTGAAGGACATAGCTCATCAACTCCTGGCCAATCACATACTAGAAAAGCCATTTCTTGTTGCATTTGACTGTGTTAAGAAATTCGTCCTTTTCTAACTAATTTTTGGGATCCAGGTACGATTCTGAAATCGAAGCTCTGAATTCAATGAAAAGAAACACCGTCACAACTAGTTCCATAGTTTGCTGGATGCGAGTACCTGCGTTGTTCCTACACAAAGATTTTACTATAGAAAACCCCATGTACTTGCTGAGAGGAATTCAATTTGACGTGTAATTTCTGACTCTACGATAAGGATCATGAACTTGGTGCAGAGGGAGTTTTAAAGAATCGTAGGCGAACAAACGTATCCACAACAAGAAAACTAATCAGAATTGCAACTTGAATGGCACACATCGAGCAGATTCATCAGGAAGGCCCCAAAGGAGACACTGCACCAAAGCATAATCAAATCCAAACACATCATCATATAAATTTGATTGACAGGAAAGAATGGTGGCCCCACGTTCCACTTAAAAAGGTTACTAAACTTCCCTCCAAGAATAAACCTGAAGTGCCATGGTGCCCGGCCGACAGAAGACCCTGCAAAATCTAAGCTGCTCTCTGGGCAGCTTCCTTGGCGAGAATTCTTTCTCTGATCTTCGACTTGGCCTGTGATTTCACACCCATGATACCTCCACCCCAGTGCCTCCTATGCTCGTCGTACTTTTCGTTGAAATTAGCCTGTATACCACGAAAACCAAGCGTTAAAAACAGAACCTCTCTCAATAGCAATCACAGCGACGTGTCCACGCCAAGACTAGCAATAACTCTTCACATAGCTTCAATTAAAGTAAAATCGCTACATTTTGTTTGACAGGAGCATTTCAACACAATTAAAGCGCCCGGAAGGCTACACTCTCCCCAAGTGCAACTCTAACCAGAATCCGGTCGGAGAACGTTGGTCATTCAACATCAACAGCTGCATTCACAAGAAGTGCAACACCAACATAGCTACATACTACGATCTATGAAGGCGAACAAGATAAAGCAAACTCAAAAAAAAAAAAAAAAAAAAAAAAAAAAAAACCTTAACAGCCTCGATGATCTTGGAGAACTCATGCTTGTCTTCGTTTTTCACTGACGTCAAACAAAGAGCCGTGGCGGTCTTGGCATGCACAATCTGCGCAACACAATTACCGTTACTACTATATCCACGCGGCAACAACCCAGGCTGAAGGTATTACGAAATCAAAAACACCACTTCCCAGCACCATTGCTATCCTTACTACTATACGAAATGTTTACTGCGAACATAATTGACACACTTTACCTGTCCTAAGCGTGATTTTCCTTTGACGATGGCATATGGCACATTCATCTTGCGACAAAGCGCGGGCAACCACACTACCAATTCGATTGGGTCGACATCATGGGCGATGACCACGAGCTGAGCCTTACCCTGATACATTGTAGCCCATAAAATTCAAAGTTAGCACCATCTACCTCGACAACGTGTTGAAACGACACAAATTCGCTCTATAAATTCTTTGACCCCGGACAACGTCAGAGGTACGCAACCGAACCTGCTCAATGAGGTATGTAATGTGGTTGATGCCGTACTTGACCACCACGGGCTTCTTTGACTCTAAAGTCTTACCCTCAGCTTCAGCCTTCGCCTTGTTCAGAAGACGTTCCTTCTTCGCAGCCTTGTCCTCAGGTCTGTACTTCAACAACAACTTGAACATGCTCGTAGCTGGACATCGTATTCCACAACCGTCACATTTAGAACCTCAAACATGGCAATCACCAAATCCATTTACCGACCTACTACTGTCAAATTCGCACTCACGCTCACTCCTCTAATTCTTACCCAGGTTCTTGTCGAGAGTCTTTGTGAACTGGTTCAACGCAGGTGGCACTTTCAAACGCTGGTTCAAAACACGTCGCTGTCGCTGGATGCGCACGTACTTGGGCCATTTCACGAACCTGTGAAGGTCTCTCTTGGGCGGAAGGGCTCCTCCAATACCGAATTGCTTCGGCCTCTTCTCAAACAGAGGGTTTACGGTCTTAACCGGAGTCTACTCAAATCCACACAATGCAGGTTAGAATCATCCCAGGCTAGAACACTGAGGGGATAATTCGACGATGGATGAATTAATTAGAGAAGACGGCTTCACACTAACCGCTTAAGTTGTCCAAAATAAAACCCTAAACTGTAGAACCACCATTTAACTCACCTGCTTCTTCTGTACCGCAGCTGGAGCCGGAGTCTTCAAAGTACCCCTCTTGGGAGCCTGAAACATCAACCAGAAAATAAGAGTCCATGAAAAGCACAAGCAAACATCTGAACATCGAGTAACCTAATCGATGCTCCTAACCCCAAAACCCTAAATTCGTGGAAGACTGGCCGCGGTACTCCAAAAATTTCCATCGGAAACCCCCTAATATCTCACGACCCGAAGTAATACAAATGAGCATGCGAGATGCACTTCATAGAGCGTTACGAACTCGAAACACAGTAGAAAGCAATAGTACCATGGCGAAAGTTGGGAGATGAGCAAAGCTGGGACAGAGTGACGGCAACAAGCCTGCGCAGCGAAAGAGAGCAATTCGGAGGAGCGACCAGAGTCATGAAGGAACCTGCCTTCATGCCTCTCCCAGACCTAGACTTACCCCAGCCTCGGAACACCCGAACCTATTGGTCTGAATGTTGGACCCAGCCCTTGATTCCTTCTTTCCCCCCTGGTTGGGACTGGGAGGAATTTTGCTTATTTCGTAGCTTCTGCTGAGCATATGTGTGTATATATATATATATATATATATATACACACATGTCAATCGATAGATAATAAGCAATGTAAGGGTGATGTTTCTGGATGGTTTATTACATGTGAAGGATGCAGCAAGGTTTTTGCAATACTTGTTGAAATGAAACGCCCAGAATGATCGCCCCATCCTGAAAGAGGTGTGATAATATTGATTAACTATGAAATGCGATTGTTGTTGTGATCGGTTTAGAAAATTGAATGGGATCAGAATGAGCAATCACTGGAGTGCTATCGTCGTGTAGCATTTTTCACATATATGGTAAAAAGTACGGTTGTCAGTCTAATCTCTATAATGTTTGTTTACGATCCGCAGGGAAACGAGTCATAAAACCCTCAGGTGATGGACGGCTTAACCTCTTCTCTAAAACCTCAAATACTTGATGGGACTAGATGAAAACAAAGCACAGCCTAATAATGTACATCTATAGCCTAAAAGATCGAAACTAAGAAACAACGTAAAGTACGATGCTTGTGGAGACGGTCATCTGTAATAAGGGTGCATGGCTTGGCTTGAAAGCTCCCAATTGTCCTCGAGGTCGATGAACAGGATCCCGTATTCCTTGCCTTGTCGCAAGGCTTTCGTGAGTTCGTCGCTGGTGACCTGTGGAGGCAATTGCAACGGATCTTGCACTGCTTGTCCTACACTAAGATACCATTGCTCAAAGCCCCCGGGAGCAAACATTTGCACCATCCGTGCCGGTTTCTCTCCTTTGTTCATGAAAGAGTGCGGAATAAACCGAGGCAGATGAACAAAAGATCCCGCACGTCCGAGCGACTCGCGACCTCCGACATTCCAAATGAGCTCCCCTTCTAGCATGAGCCACATTTCATCCTCCATGGTGTGAAGATGCCGCGGGACTTCTCGGCCAGGATACACAACCTTCTCGCACAAGGAGTATGATCCACCCGTTTCATTTCCCAAGGCCTTTATGGTGATGAGTAGCCCTAGAACCCACACACTTATTCCCTCCCCTGAATCGAAATTAACAATAGTGTTACAGGCAAGTGGCTCAAATGTAAATTATCACAAAACATCATCCTGTTTCATCAGGGTGTACAATGATCACCTGGTGCAAGCATGCCAATCTTTGGAGAAGTGAGGCCGGCAAATTGACTAGCACAGATGGAGACCTGATCCATCTTGCTTCACCCTTCCTCCTTTACCCTGCACATTCAAACATCTTAGTCGATTCATGCCATCATTGAATCAACTACAATCTCAAGAAAATTCAATCTTCTCGGTGTTTGCAACGTCAAGATGCTTCAGATAATCCCCCTAGTTAAGATGCCGTGTAACTTACATGCACATCGAAATTCAATACTCTTACATGAAACCCAAACTGGAGGGATCGTACATGTCAAATCAGATGTGTTCTTCGCTAAAATCCCGGCAGGGTAAAATCTCGGCAGGGAAGATATACTGCACGATAAGCAAGCGTACTATAACAAGCAGGGCGTTTTGCAAAACTCCTGTTGCCTTCATTTGCGAGAACCTCCTATGCAGTGCAGACGACGCCAGCCTAAGAAATTCTCAAATTCGGACACAACAGTGAATCTGACGGGTTTTATGACTCGCTCAAATTCATGACGGTCGTCAACTTGGAAAAATCCTCATCACAAGCCCACCCCATGATTACGGTTAAAAAATTCAGAGCATATTCGTGCCGACTCAGCACTACTAGGAAACTTGACGTGAACGACGTCAACTAGGTACGAGTACAGAATCAATCCACGTTATACAAAGAAAGAATATGAATTAGAACCTGAAACGACCCAAGTGCACTCAGCACAAAAAGAATTTCTAAAATCCAGAACGCCGTTCCTGTAGTGAACAAGCTGAGCGTTGACTTAGTTACCAGTTCTAGTGTAGAGTGTGCAGTGAGGTGGCCTGGGACTTCAAAAACGGGAGTGGCAGCAAGAAATTGGGTTGGAGAAAGTGGGCAGCGAAGACGATGTGCAAGGCCAGGTGCGGCATTGCATTGAATTAATCAACATGCAAGTAGTAGCGAAAGTGAGAAAAAGGCTGGAAGCAGCATGATAATGGCGAGCAGCATGGGGACGGAAGAGGAAAGTACGTGTGGCGAGGTAGAGAGCAGAGCAGAGCAGAGCAGGGGGAAGTTGAGGGAGGGCGGTGGGGGATGGGGTGAGGGGTGCTGATCTGGCAAGGCTGACCCCCCCCCCCCGAACTTGGCTTGGCTTGTCCGCTTCCCCGGGGCTCTCTCCGCCGAGAACGCGTCGCGTCAGGCCGGGCAGTTGTCCCAGCAGCACACCCCATCCATCCATCCCCCATATCACTCCCTCTCTAACATCCATCCATTCGCCATTTCATCCACCCTATATTAATCCATCCATATCCCTCCCATCATCACCGCTTTCTCCCCCCCCCCTGCTGCCCCCTTCTCCTCTGCTGGGATGGGGGGGGGACAGGTTTACAACCCCAAAGTGCAAAGAACAGAACAGGAGCCCAAAGAACAGGAGCACCAGATTCCAATTCCTGCCCCTTTCCTTCGTCAATGCCCTCCCTGGTCTCATTTTAGCATCCACACTTAAGTACATACATACATACATACATTTGTTGGAAAAAAGAAAAAAAAAGGGTTAGAAATTTTTTCATATTAAAACAGATGAATCATGATTAAAAAATATATTGAATCCTCATGAGCTTTAGAAGTATTCTGTATTCTATAGTTATAACTTTGAATTTCAAATTATAATCATGTAAGCTAAAAAAATAGATATTATAATTCTTAATCCTCTTCAAATGCACTGACATAGAAATGGTCCAAAGTTACCAAATTTCAAGCTTATTTGAATACATACATATATAAATATATATATATATATATATATATACACTCACACATAGGATTTCTGCCTCTTTAGAACATTTAAAATAATTTTTTTATTACTGCTATTATTTTTTGTAATTGTGTATCTTTAAAAGATCAAATGAATTAAAAAAAACTTAATAACAAATTTTCTGCAGTTGCTAATTCTGCTTTAGATTTTTTTTAAATAAAAAATTCATAAAAAATTAATCACAATACCTGACTATTTATTTTTTCATGGCTGCTTATTGGTAAAAGTTAATACTGTCTTTGATTGTAAACAATAAGTTAATTGCACATCTAAATAATCTATTGAAGCTATAGTTTTTATCTATATGCATATATATGGTTAATTATTCTGATTTAGTTCTAAGTTCTGTTTTGTCCTTTTCTTAATTTAAACTAACTGATGATTATTAAAAATCTCAAGTTAAGATATTTTAGTATAGAAAAAAGCAATTTGACTATTTTGTTTTATTAAGAAAGTGCTATTGGTGTATTATATAAATATTTTTATTTTCATTTTTATTATTTTTATATTCTAAAGAATTCCATCTAGTATATCTTCCTATCTTCTTTTTTTAGTAAAAACATGGCATATAATTTTTTTAAAAAATAATTTAAAATTATAAATTTTTATTAATTTTTTATTATTATTTTATATTCAAAAATTAAAATTATAAATCTTTACTAATTTTAAAATAGAAACAGATACTATATTATTAAAGATTAGACCAATTCAATGAATAAACTTACTATTATATTTAATTTAACTATATAATATTAAGTATAAACTTGTATTCAACCATTTTTTATTCTTTTATACAATCAAATTTTAACAATAATAATAATAATAATACAAATTTTATTTATAAATTTATTTTTTTATTGGACATAATTCATAAGATCTAAAATATATTTAAAAATTAATCAAACTTGATGTGTTGTTTATATATATATATATATATATATATATATATCAAAAAAAAATTATTAGCAATATAAGAGAATTTTGAGTTTTTTGTAATATCTTATAAAAGTCTATTGCTATATTAATCCAAATTATTTAACAAAACTAAAAGTAATAATATTAAGTGGAATTATCCCACTTCTATTATTGTATTCTGAAAGTTGTGGTGTAAACTTTTATTTATGCTCCAAAATTTTATTTTTAAAATTTTTCTTATTTTATGATAATTGAGCATGTTAGATTAAGAATTATATAAGTAGAATCTGGTTTTATTAAATTTTTAGGATTTTAACCTTTGATGGTAAAAATCCTTGCTTGATCCCTTGAATTATATTAATTAAGACCAAAATGATAAGGATTAGAAATTAGAATAGTAATTTGATTAGTTTTAATAATTTAGAGGTTGTTAATCATTGCTATAAGGGTTGATTGTGAGCTTATGAATTCATCCACAATCATTTCATATCATTTAGAGTAAATTAGAATTAAAACTTTCTAAAAGATTTAGTGAAGTTTAGCAATGACCGTTTTGAAGCCTTTTCTTCAACTTCAACAAAATAAGTAGCAAAGTAGTTTTTTTCAATTAATAGAGGCTTTCAAATGTGATGGCGCCATTGGATTCACCTCATGGGATAAAGAAAACAAGATCGGCACCTTTTCCTCCAACATACAAGTGGAGCATTGGAATTTTCATTTTGAAGGATTTTACAATAATTGCTAAAATCTATAGGGATAAAAAATTTCATAAAAATTAAAAATAAACATAGATGGAGGCATGTGAATAGTCAATCTTAGCATAAAAAGGTGTTTTAAACACAATGGTGAAGCTAGATTTACTAAAAATTTCTTTTTTTACCACTTACAATAGCCATCAGCCTTAGTAATGAAATTAACTTTTGGATGAATGAAGGCTATAGAACTAGATTAGGGATCTCAAAAATCAAGGGTGGAGATGCAGACACCCTTTCACAAGCCTCCACTCAAGTATATAAGAGAGGCTTGGTTTTCTAAGCCCTCTCTCTCTTCTTTTTTGGTGAAGGACAAAGCCAAGCCAGAATTTGGCCAAAAATCCTAATTTTAATTTTATTTAGATTGTTAAATCTCATTGTGAACTTGTAGGTAGATGTGTATAGATTTTTAGTTGTGAATGATAATCATGGGGTTTTAAAACATGCTTCATTGTGGTAGATAGCTCCGTTGGCCTCTCAAGTTTTCCAAGGGTTTTAAAAGCCTCGAATTTCCTCCAATCATTTGGTTAATTTTTTTTCTTTCAATTTAAAATTTCTTGTCGTTGTATCTTTTGTTGTTAGCTTTCCAACAAGGTAAGGCTTTTTGGTGAAACTTTAACTGCAAGGGAGTCAACTGCCTTCATAATTTAAATTAATCAAATTTGAGAAAGTATTTTTTAGTACTTTATAATTGGATTCAACTAAAATTTTAAAAACATTGAGCTTTATAAGCCAAGCTTTGAAAAGGCTTAAGTTTCATTGGATTTGAAGACAATTTGGATTTTTAGCAAATTTCTAAGTGAAGGGGGTTGGTCGCCGGAACAGTTTAGATCACTCAACTTCAAAGAAACAATTCTCACGATTAATTTATTAGATTGCAACGAAATTTATTGAAGAAAGAGCATCTTTAAATTAAACTTGCAACAAACTAAGAACCATCTAATTTGGAACTAGTTATAATTTTTGGCAAAATTTTGGAATAGAAGGAGGTCGCTACCTTCAATCTTTAGATGTTGTTAAGGTACCTTTGCTTTTACTTCTCTTATTTTATTTTTACTTTCATCTTCATAATAACTTGTAATCTCTAAATTTTGACTTTTGGATAATAAATTTTAAGTTTTAACTTTTAACCTTTAATATTTTTACTTTAATTTTAAATTTTAACTTTTAATTTTAACTTTTAATTTTAACTTTTAATTTTTAACTTAAACTTTTAAATTTAATTTTCAATTTTAACTTTTAAATTTTAACTTTTAACTTTAAATTTTAACTTTAACTTTTAAATTTAACTTTTAACTTTTAATTTTAACTTAAACTTAAGTTTTTATTCTTATTGCGAGTTAATAGTAATAACTTAATTAATTATTTTTTTATCATTTTTGCATAGTAAATTTTATTTAATATTTTAATTTAATATTAATAACTATTGCTTAAAAGGCATTAATTTTAATTGAACTAGAAACATCCATATTTAAATTAATTTAATAATTTCAAAATTAAAAGTTCTTCCATTCTACCTCTCGAGCTTATTGTATAATACTAATTCTATAGAGTTGTGGATTTTAGGTTCACATATAGACTATCTACCTTTAAATAAAAAATCTTCTTTCTTAACATTCATCTTTTTCTTACAGAGAGTAGATTACTCCTTTTGTAGAAATTTTTATTAGAGATTGCGGATTACCATCCTCTAATTTAAGTTTTTGAATAAGTTGGATTGTCTATAGAAAGAAAGATTATGGATTCTACTCTTAAAAAAAGTGAAAATAGATTTTCAACTATTGCAGAACTTCATAAGCTTGTCAACATTCTAAGAGTGAAAATCTCACGTATTTCCAACATGAATCATAGAAATACTATGCCTACACCTATAGAAGAAGTTCAAAGTCTACGGCAAAAAATTATGCACTTAAAAGAAGCAAGTAGGTCGACCTCACAACCAAATCTACAAAGATTTGCTTCTAGAAGTATGACGAGGACAAAGATTAATATACCTAAGAAGTTTGATGGCATAAGATCAAAATTTTAAGGATTTTTTTAACAAGTCAAGCTCTATTTAAGCTTGTATCTTTTCCAATAGTACAATGAATTCATTCAAGTCAGATTCATATGTACACTTCTATGAGGAAATGCTTTCTCTTACTTTGTATCTTTAATAAAAAAAAGATTTGTAACTCTTTTATGATTTGAATTCATTCTTAGAAGTATTTATGGCCACATTAAGAGAAAGTGATCAAAAAAGAGTAGCACAAATCAAGCTCTTATCTTTACGCAAGGATCACAATCAACCACCATACATGCTACTAAATTCCAAAACCTTACTTGTAACATGGATTAGAATGGCAAAGCCCTTATCAATTAATTTTGATATGGATTGAAGGATAATATCAAAGACTTATTATTAACAATTCCAAAGACAAAATCTTTGAAATAATTTATTACTCAAGCCATTGCATGTGAACATACATAGAAGCTACAAAAGAATCTTGTAAATATAGTAAAGAAAGTTGAAGCCTTTCATCAACGACATCCATTAAATCAAGATGAAAAATAGTAAATCTTTGCATATTAAAGAAACAAGAT